TAGGGGCTAAATTCTTGATGCCAAAATCCTACATGTATAAGAATTTATATGCCCACTGTATTGGGCTCATGTATCGTACCGGTATATGGAACGTTAATTATAGATAAATCAGTGTGTTAATTTTTAATGCATACATGAACATGTACTAGTACCGTACTAACATTCAAATATGGTGAGTTTTAATATGTACATACAGGTGGCAATTGTTGACTCAAAGCCTGCATGAGTGGGAGAATCATGGTTCTGAAAGAAAAATTAGTATAAACAAGAGATTCAATAATAGTGTGCAATTTGATGATCAACAGTTATTCAAAATAATATGCCACATGTTCATAGACATGTAAGGTTGGTTTCCAGTTTTTCATTGTTTTATACCTTTAGGAATTTCACTATTGTTATTTTACCATGGCCCATTGATTTTCATTTACAAGTTTATTGACCTTTTACAGTCTATTTCCTTGCAATAAATTATCAATACAGCCATGACTGATAAAGTCTTTAGCACACTCTTGTGGCAGAAACCTGCACATGTTATTTCATAAATGGGTTCCTCACTGAACGGTTCAGCAGTAACAAGAAAAAACAACGTACACTTTAAATTCTAGTTATACAACCAATACATCCGGTACTATTAAACAGTCTAGTGCCCTCTAGTGACAAAAACATGCACAGTAAGCAATCATCTGTCACCAAACTGTTTAGCAGCTGTTGAGACAAGAGTTGCAACTCTCACTCTCGCACAGTCTCCGTAGAGGAAACCAAACCATTCTGTTTTGAGTCCTGGCGGGGGACAGTCCTTCCCCTTCTTGGCTGTGACTACTCAAAAGCAACTTGTTGAGTCTCCACAGTTGCAAGTTCTCTCGAGGATTTTATTGGAATATTTAACCATCATGTATGGCACTGCATTCTCGTACTCTGGTGATCTTACCTTATATCATGGTAAGAAAATAATGACTTCTGTGAAATTTATTTGAAAAAAAGTTAAAAAGTTATTTTGAATTTGAAAGATAATATATTGTGGTATATTTCCCATTAATACTACTCCTGGTTAGATACAAAGTGTTTGTCATTAGTGAGGGTCAGGATGTGATTAAATGAAGGCGAAAAAGAGAATAGGAAATCATGATTTATTCAAATACCTCATTCTCATGATCTTCTTGTAAAAGTGGTATTGTTATGATTTTGAAATTACTGTAAAACAAGGGAGGCCTCATATTTCCTGGAATATTTCAACATAAAAAAACAACCTTTGTCCTTTCCTGTCTTGGTTTCAGGTTTTGAACATATTAATGAAAGATATTTTTTTCTATTCAGGATCTGTTGAGGTTTGAAGGAAAAGGAAAGTGAAGTGAAGTGTGTTTTATGGCAATATTTCCTCATCATGTACTCTAAGAAAATGTACATTGTACATGTGCATGTAGTTTATATTCTCTTAGGCGATATTTCTCTCTATAACTTGAAATCTTGAGGCTGTAATTTGAAAAATGTTCGAGTTTGAACTTGTCACTAACGAAAATCTCATCTTACAGATAAGTTTTTTTTTTTATAGACATTCTTGCTATCTGGCCCTGCGTTGAAAAATCTTTTCCCACATTTTAAACTTGAAATCTTGAGATTGTAATTTGAAAAATGTTCGATTTTTAACTTGTCACTTATGAAAATCTCATCTCACAGATAACATAAATGTATAGCCCATTCCCTCTCATGCTATATAAGCACATTATTCTCTTCCTAAGGTGATGTTATTCTTTATCCTCATATGAAATATATTGTTGTGGTAAGATAATATTACCTAGGGAGTTTCAGGATATGATTTTGAAAATAATGAATTGTAATTAGATAGGGAAGTATCGTTCGGAAATCTCTGGTATATTTCCTATCTTCCTACACTGTACATCCTTTCCCCTGTATTTTCTTGTGTTTTTCAATCATGTCCGGGTCAAGTAATGATTTTTTCAGATATTCTAAAAAGATTGAGCTTGTGATTTTGAAGTTTTAATGTGAACTTTTTAAAAATGTATTCACACAATCAGAAAACAGCTACCTTGAGGTGATACGTGTATGTCTAAAAATGTTGACTAATACTGCTATGTCATCAATGTCAGTGGTTGTCATCTTGACGTAAAGGGACAAAATGGTTTAAATTTAGAAAAAGCTGATCGTTGATGATGTGCTATTGAATGTACAATGTACTACTGCAATTAATACAGTGTAGATGAGAAGTCTTCATAAAATATAGCATGTGGTTTACTCTGTGTATAATATGTATGCCTACAGTTTGGTATGTACAGTACATCATTGTGCAGTTGTTAATGTTCCAGTGGAGTTTGATATCACATTTTTTTGTTTGATCAATTGGTTTTTAGACATTTTTACTATCTAACTCTGCCTAAAATAAAAATTAAAAAAAAAAATCATTTTGCCAAATGTTACACTTGAAAGCTTTATACAGCAGGTTGTAATTTAGAAAATTTTGCAAAATTTTGAAAATTTGAAAATTATTATGGAATGTTCAACTTTTACTGATATAACCCAAGTTCTATCATGTTTGTATGGTACTTAATTTTTTTATGCCTCCGCCACCGAAGGTGGTGCCGGAGGCATCATGTTTTCGGGTTGTCCGTCCGTACGTCCGTCCGTCCGTACGTCCGTCCGTCCGTACGTCCGTCCGTCCCGTTTGACCGTTATCACAATATCTCAAGAACCATTTAAGATTTAAACTTAAGACTCGGGAATAGTATTTATCACCATAGGAAGACGATCTGATTAGATTTTGGAGTACGTAGGTCAAAGGTCACAGGTCACAGAGGTCAACTTATGAAATTCCTTGTATTGAGTTTGTTAGCGCAATATCTCAAGAACCATTTGAGATTTAAACTTCAAACTTAAGGATAGTATGTATCACCATAGGAAGACGATCTGATTAGATTTTGGAGCACGTATGTCAAAGGTCAAGGGTCACAGAGGTCAACTTATGAAATTCCATACATTGAGATTGTTATCATGATATCTCAAGAACCACTGGAGACTTAAACTTCAAACTTAGTGATAGTGTGTATCACTATAGGAAAACAATCTGATTAGATTTTGGAGCACGTATGTCAAAGGTCAAGGGTCACAGAGGTCAACTTATGAAATTCCATACATTGAGATTGTTATCATGATATCTCAAGAACCACTGGAGATTTAAACTTCAAACTTAGTGATAGTGTGTATCACTATAGGAAAACGATCTGATTAGATTTTGGAGCACGTAGGTCAAAGGTCAAGGGTCACAGAGGTCAACTTATGAAATTCCATACATTGAGATTGTTATCATGATATCTCAAGAACCACTGGAGATTTAAACTCCAAACTTGTTTAAATTGCTCTATGGCGGAGGCATCATTTTCGACTGCGCGCAGTCAAAATTCCATCTAGTTTTTACTTGGAGATCATGTTCTTTATCCTGGTAAGAAAAAATGTTGCTGTAAAATTTGAGGCGGTAGTCTAAAAAGATGGACTAATACTGCTATGTCATCAATGTCAGTGGCTGTCGCCTTGATGTGAAGGCACCAAACGGTTTAAATTTAGAAAAAGCTGATCGTTGATGATGAGCTAATGTGACAGTAACACCATTCCCCAATGTACTACTGCAGTTTAATAATAGATGAGAAGTCTACATGTTTACAGCATATGGTTGACTGTGCGTAAAATATGTTGGCCTACAAACAGTTGAGTTTGATACCAGTTTTGTGTTTGTTCAATTGGTGAATCTTAGTAAATAATTAAAGAATGGTAGAATCCAATGTTTTTTTGTTTTCTTTGGAGGGGGGGGGGGGGCAAAACAAAGTAAAAACAATTTGAAAGAACCCCTCCCCACACAGTCTACATGAATGAGTTGGGATTATTCTGTCGTTCAATTTGCTGCACACTCTAACAAAAAAGTTTGGTATGATATACCCAATAAACAGGAACAAAAATCAAATTTATATCCTGCCGGTATATCATTCCACATTCAATTTTTACTGCATTTGCATTTTGCAATCTCCCCCAATATTTTTTTTTCTTTCACAGATGTCCCCTCTTTTTCAAGTGTACAACTTTAATATCATCAGAGTGTAACATTTGTCTTTTTGCTTGTTCACATGTAGATTCACAAAGTAAATATTTTCAATCGCTAATTAATGAATTACCAGTGAAGTGGCTCTTCTATACCTTGAGTTTGAAAGCATTCTGTATTGATAGATGGTGGGCTTAAACTTATTCATATCCTGTTTTACGTTGTTATTTATTTGAAGGTCATTGTCATGTTACCAGGTTTCACTGCAGTTTTGTGTGCCTTTGAACCGTGTTTTCATGCTTCATTAATCAATACATATGTTGTCAATGACTTTTTTTTTATTTGTACAGTTCATGAGGCATTTTAATTCACAAAACCATGTACATGTTTTGTACAGAAGGTTTATGAGTACTCACTCATCCATAGTTTTGAAATATATGTTTCTGCCATATATTACCAAAGTAAACTTTAGATTTAAGTGTAAGTGTAAAATAGCTTCTCCTCCATTGGCATGTAGACAATCATGTAGATCATATTTATTTCTATTAAGTAGAATGAGTGTGAATAAAAAGTTAAAAGATAAAGAGTTGGTACATGATGTGCCATATTGGATGTTCTTGTAGTTAAAATTAAAAATTAAAGATAGTATTCTATAGAATGATAACTTTTATTTTAGAATGTTGAAATATGAAATTTTACCACAAGTACATATTATTTAAGAAATTATAGCAACCGGTAAATATAGATTTGGTAAATTAAAAATATGGCCTTTTTGACATTTATAAGTAGAAAATAAAGTTTCAAAGAGATGTTAACAAGAATATTTCCTTTTATAGGGGTGCATTGATAAAAACAAAAGAAGGTCATCAAATTCAGTATGATTTACAAACTTAATATTCACAGCAGAATTTTAAAGAAATTTATCTTTTTATTTTATCTTTTTATTTTATCTTTCCAGGTGAGGTGATCATCTGTCAAACGCCGAACGTGCTCAAGTTTGACTCCTACAATGGGTCGAACCGTGGAATATCTGGAACTCTCTTCTGTACCAACTTCAAGATCAGCTTCGTCACAGCCAACAGACCTACGCAACATGTGGTTAGTACATGGGTCTTTTTAATCCTCCATTAGCCCACCAAGGACTGACCCGTTTAGGAGATCACTGACGACCACACTATCTTTTATGATCAAAATTGGCAACGCAGTTCTGATGAAAGTCTTCTTGCCAATACTGGTCATTTTCGTAACTCCCTGAAAAGACTATTTTTGTAATATATTTCCTCTTTTCCGAATGCAGACAACTTTTTCAAGGGGGTCAAACTGAGCAATTCTAAGGCTTGCTTGAGGATTGGCTGGCATAGCTATGTATATATACACATACATGTATATTAAAGTGAACATATATGTAGTTCTTATTCCTACAACATATGCAGAGGTATGTTCAATACACACCTGTAGTGTACAAATACCAACACAGAATCTCTTCCCCCTGACAAAAGTTTGTCATGAGGGCATTTTACGAAATCTATGACATGAATTTATGAAGGAAGATCAAATTTAACTATGGTTATACAGAGACAACTTGCGGTGCAATCTGAACTTGACCAAAGGCCAGGTCTTGCGGAATGGTTTAATCCTCCACACTGAACTAAAATAAACATAGTGTACATATATGACCAGTTCATTGGACACAAGGCCATGTGCATACTGAAGGTTAAAAGGTAGAAGAAAGACCTCCTTCGTAAATTCTAGCCTGAATGTATGATACCAAGTATGTTAAATCTATTGACCATGTTCTCATCTAGTTCCAAGGATAGTTCTAGACCATTGACCATAAGTTTGGTTGGTTTGTGGTGATAAATGGACAGTGAAGATCATCTTTGGTTTGTGGTTATATGGACAGGGTGGTTCATCTAGCCATAACATCCTTCCTTCTGAGACAGGTGCAGGAAGTATTGGGTGGATAAGGGACCCCAGGGCCCCCGTCTTACAAAAAGTTGATTTAAATTGCAACTTATTTGCGATTGATAGCAATAGAAACTATGTACATTAGAGATAGGAGACTGCAAACTTGCAACTCTTTGTAAGACGGGGCCTAGGGTGGGGATATCACAACAAGATTGGTTGAAGACTGTCCCTGGTTCATGTTCATGTATTTATTTCTTGCTATGTTCACATGGCACCATTGTAGCATTAAAGTATTGGGAGAATAAGGAACTCCAGGCCAGGGACGTCGAAAGCCAGATTGGTCCACAACTATGGTGTATGTCCCTGTAGCTATGCTCACATATTCCTCAGTTTCATGTTCATACAAACACATACATGTACATGTATGTCCCTCTAGATATGTTCTCATGGCATCAAAATGGTTTAAAAGTATTGAGAGGATATTAAAGAGGACTCCCAAGCTAGGGATATCACAGCGAGATTGTGCTTTGACGCGATTGTAATTGCGTCAAGGCACGATACTTCAATTGAGGATCATCTGTTGGACATAGTTTTGCCCTAACCATGAGATCATGTGTGGTTTTAAAACTTTGAGCAAAGTTAAATTCTCCAAACCACAAGTGCTTCTGTCATAACTGCTTACTACATGTAAATTCTTACATATTTTACAAGATTTAAGGTAGTTCAAACAATTTTCTTCATGTAAACTACATGAAGAGTCATCTCATTGTCAATCAGTAAGCTGTATTTTATTTTTCTTGGAAGCCTCAGACAAACCATGTCAGTTGTCTGCAATGACCATGTCTGAGAAGCCTAGACAGGAAGTTACATGACAGCCGTTGGATTAATTTAATTAATGATGAAACCGTTTGAGTTTTCTTGGTCAGCTAGTATCAATGTTATCGTTTACCAATTCAAATGGATTTCCATAATAATAACTAATTGTTTCATGAAACGCCCCCCTGGTTTTCAAGGTTTTCAAGAGTTGATGATATGCTTGATGTGTGTGTTTGTTGGGGGGGGGGGGTGGTATAGGCAGCTTATGATTCTTGTAACGATTTTGAAGGGTTTATGATTATTTACTTGATATATATATATATATATATATATATATATTTTTTTTTTGGGGGGGGGGGGAAGGGATGGACAAAACTTTGGCCAGTATATGGTCAAATATCTGAATCAAAGAAAAACAAATGAAATCAATATTAGAAGAATATATCAGGCAAATATCTTTAATACTGAAAATGAGATGTCATCCTACTACCTCAAACTGAACCCCTATTCAACTTCAATTTGAGTACTGAAAAAAGTGCCAAGTTTCTAGAAAAACTATTTTCAATACCCCCAAGGCAAATAAACAGCAGTTCACATGATGTTGTGACTTTACAAATCTTTAAAAAAAAAAAAAAAAAAATTCTCAAAGTAAGGCAGTTTTGTCATAATCACTTGAGAAAACCGCTATAGAATGACTGAGAGTAACCTTATTAAACACACGGGTCAAAATGAATTTTGCAGATGTGCCTGTTACCGGTTGGTGATGAAATACAAATAACCTACTGGTACTACTACATAGTATATATTACGTTGTAGCCTATGTGTACACACGAGACAAGTACAAGTACAAGATGAACCACAAACCAATTATGCATGTATGTCTGGTTTGTTTGTGCCTCGTTCATATACATGTATGAACTGTTTTTGTTTGTTTGTTCTTTTTGTTCTTTTTGTTCTTTTTGTTCTTTCTTTTTGTTTCATGAAAGATTCACATGAGTTTCATTGTAGTTCAGGAGAATACAGTGCCTTATGAAGAGCTCTTTCTACTCTATTGATATTTCTTTTGATATCCTACATGTATATGTGTACAGTTATCATTGTTTATAAAGGCGACACCCATTGGTAGTTATTGATTGGTAATTCTAGCACAGTTTAATACAGACAGTATCAAACTTGAAGGTCATATCTACATGTATTCACCAGCTCTAAGCATTCTTTTCATGTACTCTGTGAATACTTACATGTATGTTCCATGTACTCATATAAAAATGAAACAAAAAATAGATTGAAGAATACACAAAGCAAAATGATCTGCATGTACATGTAGATGTAAAGTGCCGATGGTAGTACTGTACATGTATGTAGGTTTCAATTGGTGATTAAATGTAAATTAGCTTTCTTGAATAAGGTGCATGTACTTTGTAATCAATGCCTATTTCCTGTCTTTTTGTTGTTGTATTTTTAGATTGAGCTTGACCACAGAAATCATCTTTTCAAAGAGAATGACATTCCACTTACAGCAGTTAGCCAGCTCTTTCATGGTAAGTTCAACTCTCGCATCCATTCATTGAGTGTATTACAACGGAAGACATACATGTACTTGACTTATTCACAAGGATAAGAACTATGATTGAAAGTAGTATAAATGAAATCATAGGTATAATGAACAAGAAAAAGATACTCAATGCACTATACATTACAGTAGACAGATTTGTTCTTCCCTATATTTACCATTAATAGTACATGGCAAGTTGAAAGTATACCTACAGTTTTGGTGCCCCCTTCTGGAAATCTACTAACGGACATACATTAAGGACACAACAACAATAACAACAAAATTCAGCTTTTACTTTAATATGTAATTTTTTGGAATTTTGCCCCCTTTTTATACAATTCTAGATCTTTTCCCATGCATAACTGTATGAATTGTTTAATTTGATGTTAATTCTTTTCAAAATTAATAAATAACCACATTAATCTTGCATATTAATATTTAACTCCTCTCTCCAAACCTAACTCTTCTTCTCCTTCTTTATGAGTAGTCAGTAACGGTAAGCGACGTCAGATGCTGCCTGGGATGGGGTCGACGAGCCATGTCAAGCTCATCGAGATCAGATCAAAGAACTTCAAAGTACACATGTTCAGCTTCAAGTTTGCCCCCAAGAGCACAGTGAAATCGGTAAGAAAAGCATGATGGCCACCCGACCAAGGATTGTGAAGCGAGTGCCAGTTTGCCTGCTGCTTAAAGGTTCTTTTATACCCATTACAGTCAAACCTGCTTTAGCCATCACCTGCATGGAGTGACCCCCTGTCTATAAAGACGACATTTTTCTTTTCCCATGAATATAGTTTCTCATTGAAACCTATACTAAAGGAACCTGAACATACAGACCACTGAAGGGTGGCAAGAAGGTTTCACTGAATATTATGTTTGCTGTTTTTGTCCAGATAATGTTTTTGCACGGAATCAAAATCTCTCTTTTTGGAAGAAAAAAAATGTGTACTATTTTGCATGTAAGATTCCTATTGGGTTAACCATTGTAAGCATTTTGATGCAATACATTAAGGCTCTGATCACTATACATGTGGGAATCTCAAACAATCTCAATCAAGTAAATCAATATTCCTTCAATCGTAAACATATGTGTACTTCTTAGGGATAGTATCTTCAAAAACTGCATGTACAGAGTTGACAAATGAGATAAGTCGTATATATTTCTAAATAGCTTTGAGGTTCCAATATACGTGTAGATGACTTTTTGAACTTATCAATTTCTTACTATAAATAGTCCGACTTTTTTTCAAACTTTCCCTGATTATTTTCTGAGCACCATTTCTGCTTTACTCAAAGCACGTTGTCTGGGTTGGGTTTCCTTCCAACATGAACCCTTGGCACTAAAACATAGCATATAAACATGCCCCAGGGTCCACGGATATCTACATTACATGGTCTGGATTCTGTAGCACAAAGCGTAGGTTTGATTTGCCATTTCCTCCAATCAATCGTTCAATCTTTCATTGAGTAATCAGGCTCGGCCTTTCACGAAGAGGTGGTGTGGAGCTGCGGATGTACAGGGACTGGTGATTGATTCCAGGAAACTGAGATCGTGGGTATATAAGCTGTGTATAGATAGGCTCAGATCTCCTGAATGGTCCCACGAATTTGAAATAGTGTCTGTAGTTTATGTTACTGATTAGAACTGCCAGGATTGTTTTGTATGGACAAAAAGCCATGATTAACTTTTATCTTTCATGTCTACTTTCTGTCAGGTTGCAGAGTGAAAAACTCTCTTTGGATGGTTGTTCTTATCTTGTTTTAATAAATTGAAATCAACAGAAAAAAAGAGGTTAATAGGGGAGAAATATGTTTACCTTGTGGAGGCCAGGCTGGGCCATGAAACCTAGAGCAAGAGAGGGGGAACCAGTTTGCTTAGACCCTCTTCCAGACGTCCAATTCTTTAATTTTCCATTTCCCTTCGCTTCTTTTTATAGTCGAAATAACCCGTTTCTGGCAGGCAAAATGGGATGGAAAATTGGACCTTGGGGGTGTTTGTTCATTACTTAATTCTGAGCGTCATTCAGCGTACTGACCCGTAAGACCCTGTCGGCTAGTCTGGCCTCTGTGGTTGATGAAAGCTCGGCCCATTTACCTGGAGGTACTAACCGATCGCATCATCAGCTGACCTCCTTCTCGATTCTGCCTGTCATGCTTGCGTACCATCGTCTCATCGTCTTGGGACCTGTGGCTGCTCTGAGATGGTCAATCTGTGGTCTGAGATGGTCAATCTGTGGCCTGGGATGGTCAAGCTGTAGTCTATACCGTTTAAGATTTATCTTCATCTTCATCATCATCATCATCAGCTGATGGGCCCCATCGTGTTGATTTATCAAATGCAAAGCTTGAGATAACTCTTCTAGGGTCAGGGAGAATGCATCTTCTAACCAAATCGAATGAAGTCAGACAGGTGAAGGCGATATAGCCCCAATCTCTTTGTGTAGTCTCCGGGAAAGCATTTGGGAGTTTCTATCGTGCCTTTCTAAGATTGATCTAGGCATACATTGCCTTAGAGCCTCATTAACATATCATCTGTTCAAAGGCAGAAGGGCGTTAACTCTGTATTACAGGTTATGAATTCATGCCTTTCTGGCTCTATTAAAGAACTGATGCTACAATGTTGTAATCTGCCTACAACAATAAAATCTGTAGCGGCAAGTTGAAACCACCTGGGATATAAATGAAAGGCAAGTGAGGGTACAAAATGGAGGGGAGTGCATCAAAGGCCACCAGAGTTTGTCACTTCCCCATAATTTTATTGGACAATTACATCTGTACATCTTATTTTACGAGTTCATTTGTTGTAATTTACATGAAGGACAAATACCAAGTGGATATTACACATATGCTTCCAGGCCCCTTTCCTTCCCTCAAGATCTGTCTTGCTACGGTCAAATCATCCTTATCTTTGCTCATCCTCGTTGTGCAAGGATTATAGGATGAGTCTAGGTCAAAATGGAATTGGTCAGCATTCGACCTCTGAGTATTACAGATGTCTGGTTGAGTAATAAAAGGCTTCAGAAATATGATATTTGTCACTTCCCCATAATTTTATTCGACAACTACATCTGTACGTCTTATTTAACAAGTTCATTTGTTGTAATTTACATGAAGGACAAATACCAAGTGGATATTACACATATGCTTCCAGGCCCCTTCCTTCCCTCAAGATCTGTCTTGCTACGGTCGAATCATCCTTATCTTTTCTCATCCTCGTTGTGCCAGGATTATAGGATGAGTCTAGGTCAAAATGGAATTGGTCAGCATTCGACCTCTGAGTATTACAGATGTCTGGTTGAGTAATAAAAGGCTTCAGAAATATGATATTTGTCACTTCCCCATAATTTAATTGGACAACTACATCTGCACGTCTTATTTTACAAGTTTCTTTGTTGCTATTTAAACGAAGGACAGATATGAAATGGATATTACACATATGTTTCCAGGTACCTTTCCTTCCCTCCAGATCTGTCTTTCTACGGTCAAATTGTAATCTTTCCTCATCCTCGTTGTGCAAGGATTATAGGATGAATCTCGGTCAAAGCGGAATTTGGTCAGCATTCGACCTCTGAGTAAGATGTCTGGTTGAGAAAGGGCTTTAGAAATATGATATTTGTATTGGATAATTCATTTGCAGTTTCCTCATTAAAATTCATTTGTAGTGAATACAAATGATAGAATTTGGGGTTTCCTTGTGTTAACTGATACCGATGTAACAGTATGTATAAGAATACACCACACAGTTTCCTGTACTTTTAGCGAAGAAGGATTATCATAGAACATTTCAGTTTGATGGACCTGTATTCATCTTTTGTAAACCAGAATTTTTTGTGTATATGAAATGTACACAAATTTCAAGAATGGCTCAGATTTGCAAAAGTTTCATGCTCTGAAAAAAATTGTACCAAAACTGAAAGGGACTCTCTTTCACAGATCATCTAGCTTCATGTCTGAAAGGTTCTACACTACAGAAGCAAACCCTGTAGTTCCATTTTTCTACTATATTCCTGGTGAATGTTTTTCTGGTGAACCACAGCGTCTGCTAAAGCCATTGGTTTGGTGAACTGTGTTAAATCTTGGTCAGAGTCTTCTAATTATGTGAGAAAACAAACAAAAAGGTGTGATTGATCTGCCTGACAGGAAAAGAATGTTTTCTCTGTAAATGTAAAACCATTTCTCTTTTAATAGTGGTTAGTTTGATGGTTTGTCTTACCTAACTGCTAAGAAAGCATGTGTATGCTTGTAAGTAAGCAACCAGGAGACCAACGGATTTAAGTGCTCTCTCCGAGGGACTTGGAAATGAGAATCAATGCCTTACCAGAAGCAGAGGGCCCTAGCGCATCAATCTTGTTTCGAACCTGGGACCTACAACAGTTACGAGACCACTGATTTACCACTGAACTATCGCGTCTTCTCAGTTGAAAATCATAAACTTCAGATAGATCCTCTCTCCCCCTACCTTCCCCAGTTTACAACTATGTGTGCTTCTAACGACCCTGTATGTGTGAACAGGAGTAGAGTTACAAACTATTTTAATTCTGTCAAATTAAGCATGAGTCACAGTACCATTGTGTTACTGCAAAAGTAAAAATTCATAAATAACCGTAATCAAATCAAACTTGTTGCACTTCTTCTGCCATAGTGTAAAACCCACCTAATCCTTTGCCCCAATTATACAGGAATATTGACAATGAACTTTTTATGGAATAAGACGACTTTTCCGTCAATGCCGTGTCGATAATTCGGAAAGCTTTTGACCGTGACGCTAACTAGCTGATCCACCATGCCCAGCTGTTAGTGTCAGATAGGGGCGGGAGACCGGCAGAGTAACAATTCTGACCTCATTATTCTCAATGAATCATGATAGATAGCCAATATTTTTGTTGGGAGTAATTAATTATGTGATTCATGTGTCTGTAATTGTATAAGCCAGATCCTATTTAGCAAAGCATAACAGACGGTGCTTCATAGCGTATAATGTTTTCTGTGAATTGGAATCTGGCCATGTTCTGGACTTGTTATAAGAACATAAATATTCTATATATTTCAGAAAAATGTTTCCATTGTTCTTCAATTCTATTTTTAGAATAGATAAATCAAACTGACTCCCAGAAACCGCTCTAATTCTGGCATCTTTGATACGATAGTGCTCATTCCTGCAATCATATCAGTTTTTTGAACATCTGTTTGATAGTACTTTTATTATTTATGAATTCGACATTAGCTTACTCATGTTACTCTCGCTGTTTCATGTTACTGTTTTCATTTGTATGAATGTTTGCAGGTAAATCACTTATATTTTATTAAACTACCTTAGCCTGTCAGCCCAAGTGGGTATTTATATTTCAGTTTAGGTCAGTTCAGAGTCAGTTTCACATTCAACCTTTAGTTCACTCACATACATGTACAGTACCTACACATATATGGCAGGTCACACTGACTGGACCAATATGCGACTGACAATAGACAGAAAAAACATTACATTACCCAGATGGCCACGACCCTATCTGCTATCGGTCAGTTTCGAGTCGATTGGGCAATTATTTTGGGCTATAAACTTCCCATTAGGCCTTTGCTTTGCATGCATGCACCTGTGCATGAAGTGCTAGGGCGTATCATTTTGT